TCAGGAGAGGAGCTGTATCTTAGGCAGCCTGCAGTCTGTGGTATGAGAAGATGCACGGGAGTTCACCGGCAGTGAAACAGGAAAGATAGGAGGAAGATTGACATTCCTTTCATAGCTGCAGGAAAAAAATTCTCCTTGGTTCCCTTTTGAAATGGATGAATAATTTTATGAAGAGCGTTAGTCTCCCACTCTGACCAATGATATATTGTTCATATTCTAATGTCTTCCCCATATCTCCAACTCAGCTTACAATGCACCCTCTCTAGCCACTGAAGGGAAAAGGTTCGGACAGATCAGTGGTTAAGACTGAACTCTGCCCCCAAACCTGTTCTCCCTTCTTTCTTGCTATAGACTTCAAATTTTGTTAAAAATTTCAACCCCCAACCCAACACATACACACGGTCCAGGAGTAAATCCTGACCAATTCAAGCCAATCCTAGTGATTGTATTCCCTTTGCCAGTGATTGGCTCTGGAGAAGATTCATGACTCCATGCTGATTAATGAGAAAAGAGGGGAAGTCAGCTGAGAGACATCAGAGGGTTTCTTAATCAAAAGGAGACACAGAGAGAAAAAAACACAGCTTCTATTCCTGAAACAGGGGTAGCCACCTTGTGATCATGCAGATGCTGGCCTGAGGTTGGCAAGAAGAGAGATTATAGAACTGGCTTCTTGATGATGCTGAGCTGTTGAATACACTCTTTGAAGTAGCCCAGCATGGGACTTCTCATAAAATAAGAAACTAGACTTTCCTTATTGTTTATGCCACTTTATTTGCTTTTACTTTCAGCATCCTGAATACACCCCAAATTCGTCGTACCTCTTACTTTCAGTTCCCGGTTTCTCAGAGTACATCTCCTAAAACCTGGCTTGGAATCTAAAATAATCAAATCTACCTTTACTCACATAGGTGCACCCCTCATTGAACCAGGGATCTGAGTTGGTTAAATGCAAATATTTCCTGGGGAAGCAGTTAACATCAAATGATTCGTCATATTAACTTAAATTCAACTAGTTCCTTAAGACAATTTTACCCAGAAAAAGAAAAGGGTTAGTAAACAATAAAGAAACTTGAACTCCATCGGGGTTCTGAGTGATGCGAAAACAGCATGAGGGTTAGTGGGATAAGAGAAAGCAGGAAACAAGAGAGGCAGGATTGGGAAACAAGAACAGAGGGAGAACGTTTTTAGTAAGTTTACAAATTTCAACAGATGAAGAGTGAAAAAGCCAAAGTCTCACCTTTCTTTCAGGGAAGGTGAAGGACTATTACCTAAAGTGGATAAATATGTAAGCTTTTTATTTTCAGAGAAAAACAATTTGTTCGGACATTTGAGAGACTACAGGCCTAATCACAGGCCATCCCCACCCCCAACACATGTGCTTTAAAAAAAAGCCCGGATGGAGATACTAGGTATTACTTAATACCTATAACTTAATACCTACATATCTAGAAATATTTCACATTAAAGATGAACACCTAGTGAGGAGACAGACCTTCCCAGAACACAGCGAAGAAAACCTAGACCAGCTGTATTTTATTCTTAAATACGAACATACTCCAAGGATCACCATGTCATGAGGCAATAGAGAACCATGGATGATGATTGTAGAAGATTGTAACCTGTTAATAAGCACAAATCTAATTGGAGAGATGTTTATGGTTGAAAGCTTGAAGCTAGTATATAAATACATGCTGGAGATCGAATGCACAGTATAGTCATTATAATCAACATCCTCTATCATAAAGTTCAAAGCTGCTAAGAGACTAGATCTTAATTGTTCTCATCACAGGAAATAAAGGTAACATGATAGAAGTGTTTAATGCTATTGTAGTAATCGTACTGTCATATATGTGTATCAAGCCAACACATTTTATACCTTAAACTTACACAATGTTATATGCCAATTATACCTCAATTTGAAAAAAGAAAGCTAACAGTAAAAGAAACATGTTTTTAAAAGCAGAAAGCACTTTGAAAAATTTCTAATTAGAATATTCAGATAAGAGAAAATGTTATTTCTTATAAAATGAGAACAGGATGAAAAGAATATGCAGATAATTTGAAAAACCTTTCAAATATTAAAATATAATTGCAAAAAGAAAAAAAATTAAGTAGAAGCCTTGAAAAACAAAGTGACAACATTTTCTGGAATGTAGAAGAACAAATATTTTAAAAGACAAGGAAATATATTAGAGTGTGAGTGGAGAGACCTATAATATCAAACTGGGAGGTGTAACGTCAGACAACTAACAGCTTTAGGGAAAG